TTAAAAAAAAGAACGACAAAGGTTTTATATGATTTCGATATAGAAATAATAAATAATTTTAATAAATTTTAATAAATTTTAATAATTTAATAAATTGTAATTGTAAAGCTTGAAATTTTAGAAATAAGAACACTTGTTGGTTTCTGTATATTCTAGAAGCGAATGAAAATGTTATTTCTGATTGAGAATAGTAAAAATTTGTTCTTACAATTATTTTAATGATTGTAATTTGGAAAATTATTTTAATGATTAGTTTTTCTAAAAAATAATTCTAATTAAAAATTTTAGTATTCTATTTTCTAATAACTAAAGTGAATATCATTTGTTTTTCCAAAATTTGATATTAATAAAAAGTTAATAAAAAAGTTTTTGCCGTCGAAATCCATTATAAATAATTTCAAAAATATATAATATTTATAATAAGAAGGTATAATATTTTTTCATATTTTTTTATATTTTGAATTTTTTTGAACATATATAAATAAAATAAATCAGATAAAAAAATAACTTTCGATTCCAATTATGAATATCAATCATTTTTCATCTTGTTTTATCTCAAGCTTGAATTGCATGTTACACTTATAAAATTATATGAATATATGTAAGTACTTATATATGTATAAAATAAAAATGTATAATAAATAAGGAAATACATTTGTCATCTATATATGCATTCATATACTTTCATAAGTGTATTATTTTCAAATATGAATTTTAAATAAGATAAATAAAAAATCATTAACATTTCCTATTGAAATTGACATTCCACTTATTTTATTTATGTGCATCTAAAAAGAATCTACATGTATTTAGAAATATCTAAAAAATAAAGAAAAAAAGAAAATATTATTATATATTATATATTTTCGAAGTTGATTATGGCAGATTTTAACGCATTTTTACAAACGATATTAAATTATTTGAGTAAATGATATTTCAGTTATTTATTAATGCGGTGCTAAAATTTTTTTTTAATTTTTTTTAAATTAATTAGTTATTTGAATAACTTCTCTTGTTAGATTTATTTCAATTTATACGCTGATTAGATATAAAACAGATAATAAATAAATAATAAAGTAAATTATTAAGATAAAAATATAAATAATATCTCAAAGAGAAATGAAATTTTTACAATATGAATATATTTTGCCACATTATATTCTGTGATAATTTAGTCTAATTTCCATTTTTATTATCTCTTCATTTTGTTGAGTCATGCTATTCTATTACATTTATATTTTACTATAGTTTTATTAGCAGAAATTAAAAATAAAAAAATATTTACTATTTTCATTCTCAAACATCATGTTTATTCGTCGTGATCAATGTGTTAAAAATTACATTTGTCACTCCAACAAGTGAAATGACGAAAAAATCTAAAAAAAAGCAAAAATAAAATAGACATTATTTTATCATCGCTATAAATTAATGTTTAAGAAAAAATTATTCTAATCAAAGTAATCACGATCCATTTATTTTTTAAAAATAATTTAGCTCGATTGTAATACTCTTTCTTATAAACAATTTTTCAAATTCTGTAAATCTATGCTTCGGCGCACGAATTGAAAAAGAAATCTCGAACAAATTTCACGTAATATGTATGAAATATATACTATACAACGGCACAACGGTGTGTACTTGTCCGGCGCACGTGTTCGAAAGTTTCGCGATCGATTCTCTGCGATTTTTAGCTGTTCATCTCGTTCATTTCAACGAGATTAATTCGCTGATCGATCGAAAAAATGAAAATCGAACATACGCTTTGAACGTTTCGCTAGAAATAGAAAAATAAAACTAATAAATTTCGAGAAAAAAAAAATGTATGGTTTATATTTTTAAATATCCTTATATATATATATGTATTGAAAATATATCAGAAAATGATATTTTTTTTCAATGATTTTTTAATATATTATCGAGCTTATCATATTGGATAATGAAAATGTTTATTAACAAAAACAATTTAGGTTAAATTAAATTAGCTCATTGTTGATAATAAAAAGTCATTAACTAACTAAACAAATCAAGCTTAATATAAACTATGAAAATAAAAATTAATAAATTTTTGTTTGACAATGTGATATGTGTATTAATTCTAAATTTATTTTCAAAAATAAGATTTTCCTTGAAGTTATAGAAATGATATTTTTTTATAATTTTCTCTATATTCTAATTCTATTTATATAAAATATAATAGGATGGAATAATTAAAAGAGATTTATAAAAAAAAATATTATCTTATAAAATTAGTATTTATTTATTTAATTAAATTGATAATTAATTAATTAATTAAATTATTAACTTATTAAATATTTACTTAAAAAGCTTTTAAAAAAATTCATTTTATATTTTAAAAATTATATTATATAAATTATATATATATATATAAATTCAATTATTTTTAAAAATCAATAATAACAATAATACAAGGATTATATTGTATTTTCAACAATTATGTATTTTCAACAAATAATTTCAACTTTTACGTTCACTCTTTAATGTTACGTTTAAAATTTAAACGATCTTTCTTTCCCAGCACTTTGTTCAATCGTAATAATAACCACTCTCCCTATAAGTTTAAAATCGTCATTCATGTGCAATTTCACAAATTTCCCACGATTTGCCATTTCCCAAAAATGCTGACTAATAATATTGCGTGTGTTTTAAATTTACTGTCTAAATAATTATAAATAAAATACAAGGTGTCATGAAAACATATCCGGTTTTTTGGATAGTATATCATTCAAGTCTGATCGAAATGTAGTACCAAGTTATTGTTTGGTCAAAATTCGATTAAAAGAATTCACAGATCTTATTTAAGATTTGGCCTTTTTTCACGTTGTGCTTCGTAAATTGATTCGTACGTTGATTCACGTATAATACGATGGAATCTTCATTATAGAGAATCAATTATCATTTAAATTATAGAGAAACGAGACCATTCAGATAATAGAACAAACTAAATATAATTTTATATTTTAAAGAAAATGACGCTTATTTAAAAAATTTAGATAATAATAATAGATAAAAAATAGTTTCTAATAAAAATCTTTTTTTTAATTGCCAAAATTTGTATAAATTTTCTATATAAAAAAAAAATTATACTTTACAAATAATTTTTCATTTCACTATTCTGCTTTTGCTAATTGGATTGAATTTTCCAATATTATATATCAATTCAGTATTTTCAAGTACTCTTTAAAACAATATAATATTCACTTGCTTTCTAATTTCATTAATATTTTCGATTTCAATAGTTCGAATAAATATATGTTTATATTTTGACATTATTGTATATATTATGTGAACGTGTTAATTTCAAATTAAATTTTATTTTCACTTCTATATTAAGGAAAGATATTTAATAATGAATATATATGATGCAAATAGAGACAGTTCGGATAACAAAATAGAATGCTCGCATTATTAAGATATTTAGATAATAGGTATCGAATAATGGAGTTTGTAGATATCGACACATGTAATGGATACATGTAAATATACTTATAGAAGTATTCAGACAATGATTTTCGTGAGATTCAAGATCACGGGAGATTTCGATTTTATGTATCCTTAATTCCTGCGAATTTCTTCGAATTTCTTGTCTTGAGACAATTAAATATACAAACAAATGATATCATTATCAAATAGCTCACTTAATAGCAATAAATGCAAAATAATACTACGAAATTAGATATTGGATAAATGTTTTAGGTTAAATATTAGATATCCATTTATCTATATATATATATAGATATACATATAGATACATATCTATATGTATATCTATATATATATCTGTTACATGTCAATATAGATGAGTAAGCATTATAATCAAAATATTATATGAATATATGTAACAATGATACGTAACATATTATTCTATGATGAATTGATATATAAATACACAGAACAAACAGATATTCAGTCTTATATCGAATGCGTATGTGAATTCTATGTAAAAGAAGAAATGTTAATGTAAAGAAAAATCAGCTTTCGAAAAACTTCGAATGAAATCGAAATGAAATATTCGAAAGCTTATTTAATTGATACGAATATGTTAAAATAATTGAATTTTAAATTTAAATTTCCACTTTAAAAGAGAGTAAAAAAATGTAGAAAATTATTTTAAGATAATGTTTCACAATTTTTTTAAAATCACAAACTTCCTTTATAATAACCAAATTTTTTATAATAGCCGTGATCTTTCTTTTATTTCTATATTTATATAAAAAGGCATTCAAATTTTTTTATTTTTTATATATTCTAATCCAATATTTAATAAAATTAAAATTCAATGAAGTTTTTTATAAAGATAAATATTAATAGAAAAAAATCATTTTGCTATTCTTTTGGAAATCGTGATCTACAAGATAAGATATATAAAGTGACAAGCTAAGCTTTTGAAACTATTATAGATATTTACAATTTCTTAATTATGTACAATAAAAAGAATGTTTCAGATAAATGTTACTACATATTTGATAATCTAAACAATAATAATGAATATTTTATTATCTAAATAATAATAATAAATAATCGCTAAATAACAATAAATTAATATATTTTATTCTATTCTATTTAAAAATAATAAAAAAATGAAAAAGGAAATCTTTTGAATCTCAAAAAATTTGTATACGATTAATCTTTATTTTTAATCATTTAATTTAAAAACATATTAATAATTTCGAAGAAAAAAGTAAGCTTGTCACATTTCGTGCCTCATAAATATATAGATGTATTAGTAAATATAAATGTTTTCAATTCTTCATCGAAAATAAAACATGGAACAAATTCATAAATATAATTAGTAAATATAAGATTCATAAATATAATTAGTAAATATAAATAGTGTAAGTTCAATTGATAGAAAATAGAAGTATATATTATATTATATATAACTATATATTTTATAATTTCACATTATTTTTAGTTGATATAAATTATTCCAATATAACTTAATTATTAAAATTAAAATCTAATATTGAAACCGAAGAATATAAAAATATTAGTTTCTAAATATGAATTTCTTAAAATAATTTCCATGTGACTTATGATTCTCAGCCCTCCAAATATCGAAAAAGATCACTTTTACTCTTCGAGAGTCGAAGATGGCGACGTCCAGCCGTCGGAAAAGCTGCGCGGCGTCGCGCGAAGACACTCGTGTTCACGCGTGTGTACTCGAACGAGCCACGGCCGAATGACATATGAAGTGCATAGGGTAATCTTTTTTCCGAAACGTTTTAGCGTGCCGCGCGGGGTCTCCACTTTTTCCCCGAGTGTAATCTATAGGCGCACTTAATACAGCTGCTCGTCCATGGAAACTTCTCTCCGGATTCCTTTCCCTCCTTTCGTCGCGTTCTTGTGCTTCTTCGTCACTTCTGTATATTCTGTTCTGGGGAAAAGAAGAAGGGAAAAAGAGAGACCGTAAGAGAAAAAGAGAGTGGCAGCTTCCACTTAGCGGGACTGTACAATATATCAAGCGTGATCGCTTTTACCCTGTGAATTGTGGAACCGCGTTTCGCGCGCAGCTATATACGATCACGTGTAGCGTTGTTGCTTTTGTCACTGCCGAAAAAGAAGCTTTTTTTCTGAAAGAGAAAGGAAGAATACAGAGATTGTTTATACAAGATTGTTTATGGAAAATTTCTTTTATCTTGGTTACTCTTAGTTGATCTTTTTGAAGATAATATAATGTTAAAATTATCGATCATATTTATGATACATCGAAAAGAAAGAGAAGATTGAAAAAAAATTTCGTCGAAATCAATTAATGTTACAAATAATAAATTACAAATAATTGAAAATAATAAAAATCTCAATTTTTGACAATTTTCATAATCTATAATTGTAATAAATCTAAAAATTATATCTTTCGATATTTTTTTTTTTGCATTTATTGATTTAGATGAAACTTTATGTATATGTATATCTTTTTGATTTATAAAAGAATATATTTATAAAAGAATATAATTTATAAAAGATTTATAAAAGACATTTTAAATTTTTTATAGATTTAAATAAAAAAAATTAAAAATCATAATCTTTACAATTCCGACCAATAAACAAAATTTAAAAAACTTGTTTTATTTAGTAAATATTTAAAAAAAATTCGAATTATTCCAAATTTAAAAAAATTATTTCGTTTTAAAGGATATGCTAATATTTTTGTTTATGGTTGTAATAAAATTCATCTATCTCTCATTAATAAGCAAAACAAATATCTATATAATCCTAATAACTTTTCATTTTCTTTCTATTAAAAAAAAAAATTTAAATCAGAAAAAACTTCCATTAATATTTAATTTGAACATAATTCATTCCATTCATAAAAAATTAAAAACATGCATCAATAAAAAAAAAAGAAAGAAAGAAGGAAAAGAGCCGCAAGAACAAGCGTCAAAAAAGCAATTATCGGCTGAAGTAACATCGATCGAGTGGAGAATAGCATTTCGCGTAATCGGTTCGCGATGTTCGAACAAGAGTCCACGTTGAAAAGTGGATGGGGGAGTCGGTTGTAATGGCTAGGAGTGGGAAAGAAAAATCGAGGACAAAGAAGAAACGACTGACAGCTCGTTCTTGAAGAGAGAAAATTCCCGAGAATGGAGGCAATTTGGTTACCTGGCGGCCGGACTGTTCCAGGTCGGGTGTCGATCGATGTTCATCCACGTAAAAGGGTGGGTGGTACGAGGGAGCGGATGGTTAAAGGATAGTGGCGGCGGTCGGGGTTGTAATAAGCGTAATGGATATAGCAGGGCTGCACGCATGCCCTCGCCTCGCGACGACCGGCGCAGCGTGTTCACGCAGCAAAGGGTTGCTTCGTATAATCGTGAGAACGCCCA